GGCGCCGGAGCATCCTCGCCGGGACGGCGTGTGCAAAGTGCGGACTGGAGAGGAGGGAAGTTGAGGGCAGAACCGGTGGGGACATAAAGACGGGGTCGGGGGGTCGTTGTGGGGAGAGAGGGAGAGGGACAAGTTTCTCATCACGCGCCGCCAAAGGGGTCCGGGAGTGCGCCCGGCAGGGCCCCCTAGGGTCAGCGGGAGTCATCACGCGGGGGCCTTGAGGGCCCTCCCGGATCCAGCGTTCGAGGCGCCCCATTTCGGAGGATGTCTGGGGAACCTTAACCACTGGCCGCGTCCACAAGGCCGGGCTGCCTGGCCGCCAGTCACCAGCGCTCCCCGGGGGGCTGGCCACTCCGCAGCCTGGCGCGGGAGCCGCAGGTGTCCTTCTGCCAGGCCTCTGCTCCGGGCTCCGTCCTGCGCTCCCACCCTGTGGAGTGGCGATGGAGACCTGGATAATAGGGCCCGCAGACAGGCAGGCTACCTGGCCTGGGTGACTCATTGTTGACCCCCCCACCCCGGGAAAAATAGGACCGAGCGGTGGGTGGTTACATGAAAGTCACTGAGAAGGGATTTGGGGGGGTCAGAAGCTCTGGACCCTGGCCTGAACACCCTGAGCAGGAAAGCCCCAGAGGCTTGGGGGAAGCAGCTGAGGTGGACGGAGAAATTGGGAGGAGGTTGTAGGTCTGACACCCCCAACCCCTGGCCCCGTTTTTTGCTTGAGCAGCTGTCTGGCCTGAACCCTCTTGGGTCTCCTCTCCTGTCTCCTCTAGGACACTGGGGTGGGTCTGAGTCAGAAAGAGCAGGCAAGGAGATAAGCAGCTTCCCGGGAGTCCAAGCTGGAGAGGCCCCGGGTAGAACCATGCCTAGGTGTCCCTGCCCTGCCCCCACCTGGCCAGGATCCAGTCCTGGGAAGACTCGGGGTTGTTGGAACTCTGGAGGGTAGAGGGGTTGACCCCAGGCTTGCTAAAAGGGACCGAGATGTCCCTTTGGCCATGTTGGCGGTCTGGCAGTGACCCGGCGTCTGCAGAGCACCTTTTGGGTCCAGAGAGAGACGCTGCCACCCGCCAGCTCAGCCCCGGCCTTGGCCGGGCAGTCCCGGCCACGGCAGGTGTCCTAAGCGTTTCTCCCCTCCACAGCACATGGTGATGAGTTTCCGGGTGTCTGAGCTCCAGGTGCTCCTTGGCTTTGCTGGTCGGAACAAGAGTGGACGGAAGCACGAACTCCTGGCCAAGGCCCTGCACCTCCTCAAGTCCAGCTGCGCCCCCAGCGTCCAGATGAAGATCAAAGAGCTTTACCGCCGCCGCTTTCCCCGAAAGACCCTGGGGCCCTCTGATCTCTCCCTGCTTTCTTTGCCCCCTGGCACCCCCCCTGTGGGTGCCCCTGGGCCTCTGGCTCCTATCCCCCCTGCCCTCTTGGCCCCCGGCACCCTGCTCGGCCCCAAGCGGGAAGTGGACCTGCACCCTTCTCTGCCCCAGCCGGTGCACCCCGACGTCACCATGAAACCACTGCCGTTCTATGAGATCTACGGGGAGCTCATCCGGCCCACCACCCTTGGTACGGCTCTCGGTGGTCCCTGAGCCGTCTGGGACCCATGCCTGCCCGGGCCGCTGCGGCCACTGGTCCCGTGGGTTGGCACCCTGGGTGGAGCAGCCCCTGTGGGCTCGGCAATAACTGTCTTTTTGTGTCCCCAGCATCTGCTTCCAGCCAGCGGTTTGAGGAAGCGCACTTTACCTTTGCCCTGACACCCCAGCAGGTGCAGCAGGTCCTGACCTCCAGGTACTTCTTTGAGTCTGCTGCGCTTCCTGCCACGCCCTGGACTCCGCTCTCTGACTCTCCTGCCTCACTCGCCCACTGTCCCTCCTCCTGTACCTGTCTTGTCTCTCATCTTTTCTCTGTCCCCTGCGCCCACGTGTCCCTCTCTGGGCATCACCTGCTCACATCTGTCTCTCCCTGTTACAGAGAGGTTCTGCCGGGCGCCAAATGCGATTATACCATACAGGTGCAGCTCAGGTGAGGCGCCCCGCCCTCCCTGTCCCCCGACTCCCACCAGCGTTGGGGATGAAATGGGGCATCACATATTGGCCTGTCAGGAGAGTCCCCTGCTCTGCCCTATCGGCCTCAGCCCTGGGCCTCTCGCTGGGAGATGAAGGTCCCAGCGTCCTGGCGCTTTCCCCGAGGTTTCTGCTTCTCCACATTCAGTTCCGGGAACCGCCTCTCACCCTCTCATCTCCTCTCCTCTTACCAGGTTCTGTCTCTGTGAGACCAGCTGCCCCCAGGAGGATTATTTCCCCCCCAACCTCTTTGTCAAGGTCAACGGGAAACTGTGCCCCCTGCCGGTAAATGCAGTAGCCCTTCCCTGTGTCAGCGCCTGCGTCACCTGTCACTCTGTCATCGCATGAATGACGGGGAGACGCTCCTGGCACCGTGCCTGGCACGTAGTAGGTGGTCATTTACTGACAGAATCGGTATGGTCAAGTGAGTGCCAAGAGGACTGAGCAGGGTTCCTGTCAGCCTGAGGAAGACACTGGTTCAATGTCAGGGAAGTCACCTCCGGAGTGATGCCCGGAGCTGGGAGTTCAGGGAAGACACCTCCGGAGTGATGCCCGGAGCTGGGAGTTGGAGAAGTGAGGTGTCCCTCTTCTTTCTCAGGGCTTGATGAGTGGGTTCCTATTTCCTTGGCCAATGGATAAGTTCTGCTTTTCCTCTAGGAATGGGCCCCTCAGATAACCCTAGCCAGTACCCCAGTTTTGTGTGGCCCTGAGTGGGACCTTAGTCAGTGAGCTCGCGCCCCTTTAAGGGGGTAGCTCAGGGCAAAGTATCTTCACCAGTCCTTCCCCTCCCCAGGGCTACCTTCCCCCTACAAAGAACGGGGCTGAGCCCAAGAGACCCAGCCGCCCCATCAACATCACACCCCTGGCTCGGCTCTCGGCCACTGTCCCCAACACCATCGTGGTCAACTGGTCATCTGAGTTTGGACGGGTGAGCATGGCCGTGGCAGGGAGCCCGGGGAGCCGGCCCAGCGTGAAGGGGCTCACCCAGTGTCCCGGGTGGGGCGATACTGCCCTCTCTCTGGGTGTCTGCCTTACCCTTGGGGACAGGAGTGGTGGTGGCGGTGGCCAGCGAAGCAGAGGCTAATCACCTCCCCCACCTCCAAGTAGAACTACTCCTTGTCGGTGTACCTGGTCAGGCAGTTGACTGCAGGGACCCTGCTGCAGAAGCTTAGAGCCAAGGGCATCCGGAACCCAGACCACTCTCGGGCGCTGAGTGAGTGCCGCTGCGTCACTGTCCCCGCCACTGACCCCTCCCGGGACCCTGCGCTTCTCAGGGCTGGGTGTGGGGCCCCTCCCGGCCCTGAGGGCCGGCCTTGCCTTCCCAATTACTTGTCTGACCCTCAAAGGCTGGGGGATCATCCTAGCTGACCCTCTTGTGACTTCACAGCTCCCTGGGTCACCTTGCCAAAGTGCCACCCCACTGTGCTGGTGCCCTCAAGGATGGGGATCGGCCCTCTCCGGCCCTCTAGCCTCCCAGGCTCCCTCAGATCCCAGGGCACCCCCCAGGTACCTCCCGGCCTCCAAAGGCTCTCACCGGCCGCCTCACGGCCAGAGCTGTGCCCTCTGCTCCAGCCTCGCCAGCTTCCAGTCTCTTCTCTGACCCTTTCTGACCCCGTGGCTCTGGCCTCACTCTGCTTTTAGTCAAGGAGAAATTGACTGCTGACCCGGACAGTGAGGTGGCCACGACAAGCCTCCGGGTGTCTCTCATGTGCCCGGTAGGTGTGAGGGAGAAGAGAAGGGGGGGAGATTGGCTTAAACTTCTGGTCTTGAGCTGCTACTGTCAGGCTGCCTGGGCGGTGGGGACCTGACCCGAGACTTGCCTCCTCAGCTGGGGAAGATGCGCCTGACTGTCCCTTGTCGCGCCCTCACCTGCGCCCACCTGCAGAGCTTCGACGCCGCACTTTACCTACAGATGAACGAGAAGAAGCCGACATGGACGTGTCCCGTGTGTGACAAGAAGGCCCCCTACGAGTCTCTGATCATTGATGGGTAGGGCCGCTCTGCTTTCTGCCCCCTTCCCTGGGTCGGCCACTGTTCTCGCACGTGGGGTACGACCCGGTGTGTGCGCGTGTGTGTGCGCCGCTGGCGCCAGAGAGCCGCCCCCGCCCCGACGATCACGGTGTGGGGCATCGGCCGAGCACCACACGACTCACGTTACTGAGCCCTCGTGGTCCCGTGACAGGCGCTTCCAGGCGGGACATCGAGCCCGGGAGGCTGAGCCTCTTGGGTATCATGTTGGGCACAGTCCCGGTCACACCCACTGGGCCACGCTGAGCACAGCCGGGTCCTTCAGAAGCTCTGGCCGTGCTGACCCAGCCAGTCCCAAAAACCCCAGTGTCTGCCCTGCAGTCCCGTCCAGCCCTCGTGCCGAGGTGGTTTGTGGGGGGCTGGGTCGCTGCTCCCTCTGGCCTGTCTCTGGTACATGGAACAGGTGCTAACAATGGATTGTATCGAAACTTTGCTTTAAAATAATAGCTAAGAGTTTGCAAAACTCTGAATAGCTCACGTAATTGATTGCAGCGAGGAGGAGAGCCCAGCGGGTTGGGAGATCGCAGCTGCCCCCGTGAGCACACTGAGGTTCCACACTGCATCCCAGAACCTCAGGTGGGGTCCCCGCCTGCCGCCAGCCCTGCGAATCCTCATCTCTCTCCTCCCCCAGCTTATTCATGGAGATTCTTAACTCCTGCTCGGATTGTGATGAGATCCAATTCATGGAAGACGGCTCCTGGTGCCCAATGAAACCCAAGAAGGAGGCCTCTGAGGTTTGCCCCCCGCCAGGGTATGGGCTGGATGGTGAGTGACCCCCGTCCCCTCGCCTGGCTGAGTCTCGGGTCGCCTTTTCTCTGAGCCTGAGCCTTTGTTCCACCCGCAGGCCTCCAGTACAGCCCGGTCCCAGAGGCCACGCCGTCGGAGAGTAAGAAGAAGGTCGAAGTCATTGACCTGACCGTAGAAAGCTCGTCCGACGAGGAGGACCTGCCCCCGACCAAGAAGCACTGTCCTGTCACCTCAGCGCCTATCCCGGCCCTGCCCGGAAGCAAAGGGTATGAGGGGCCGGCTGGGCTGGCCGCAGGAGGGGCGGAGGGCGCCGCAGGAGTGCTTTCCGGTCTGCGCACCCCCGCCGCCGGGCACAGTGGGACCCGAAGGGACGGCCCGAGCTGGCCGAGGGCGCTGTGACGCTGGCTACCCCGGCCCCTGTCCCCATAGCGTGCTGACCTCTGCTCACCAGCCGCCTTCGGTGCTACGGAGCCCCGCCATGGGCGCGCTGGGCGGGGAGTTCCTGTCCAGCCTCCCGCTGCACGAGTACCCGCCTGCCTTCCCGCTGGGGGCCGACATCCAAGGTAGGGCGCTCATCGCCGTCCCGGGCCAGACCCAAGCCCCGCTCCTCGGCAAACCCCCCTGGACCTTGGAGAAGGGCCGCGGCGGTTCAGGGAACTTGGTTTTTATGGGGGTGAAGGGGTCAGAAAGGAGGCTGATGGTCACTTTTCTCTTCTCACCAGGGTTAGATTTATTTTCTTTTCTTCAGACCGAGAGTCAGGTAAGAGGTCTCTTCTTCCTCCCGCGAAGACCTCAGATTTCTGAAGCTTCATTTCTAGCCATTGATGGGTCCCCTGTTCCCTCCTCTCGCACCCCCTCCCCCCGCCCCCACCACACTAAAATCTCCCCCTCCCACACACACAGCTTATTTCCCTGCCAGGCCCCTGGTGCTTCAGCGACTCCAGTGTCTCCTGGACGCTGCTACTGTTCTGTGTCCCCTGCCCCTGCCCGCTCACCTCCCCGCGCCCATGTGCTCTTGAGCCAACCCCACCTGCCCAGCCGGACACCCCCCACTTTGCGGCCGCCACAGGCCCAGGCGGCTGAGGGGCTGTCTCAGGCGGGGGTGGGGGCGCAGGGGTGAGCTGGCTTTTCTCTGTGCCTTGGCATCCCGAGGGTTGACCGCCCCGTGCGTGTCCGAGCCGAGTGGCTCCCGGGAGCCGAGTGGTCAGGGTGAGATCGTAAACTCTGCCCTTGGTTCCTCCCAGCACTACGGCCCCTCCGTCATCGCCTCGCTAGATGAACAGGATGCCCTTGGCCACTTCTTCCAGTACCGAGGGACCCCTTCCCATTTCCTGGGCCCGCTTGCCCCCACGTTGGGGAGCTCTCACCGCAGCACCACTCCCGCACCCCCTCCTGGCCGTGTCAGTAGCATTGTGGCCCCTGCGGGGCCCTTGAGAGAGGGGCACGGAGCACCGCTGCCCTCGGGTCCCTCTCTGACCGGCTGCCGGGCGGACATCATTTCCCTGGACTGAGTCCCGGAATTAGGGACCCTTCGCCTCCCAACCCTGAGCAAGTACGCTGTGGAGTCTGACTGGCCACTGACCCCTCAGCGGGCTTTGGCCAAAGGCCACAAAGACCTTCCTGGACACCTGATTTTGGCTTCATCGCTGCCTAACAAGGCCAGCACCCAAAGGGTTAATATTTAACCTCTTTTTAAGGACATTTGGGGTGTATTTCCCGAATGCTCTGGATGGTGGGTACGTTCCTTTGGGGGTATAAAGTAGGCAAAGGAGGTGAGCAAAGGGGAGTGAGCTGGAGGGAGACTCTGGAGCCTCACCCTTGACTGTTGGGGAGCTGGTGGGGAAGGGGCCCTTCGCTGGCCCCCCTCACCCCCAAACACAGCTCTGTTCCCCCAACTTCCACTGTCTTGTCTCTTACCTCTTTGGCCAAACAGACAGGCGGACAAATTGCTTCCGGCATCAAATGGACAGAGGACTCTATTTTGGGTTGCAGATTTTTTTGTACATAAGAAAAACCAAAATACTCCAAAGATGACTTCCCTGTGTGACTGAGGAGGCGACAGGCCTTCGTCCCCATCCGTCCCCAGGGGTGTGGGAGCAGGGCCTGGCCTGTTGCTGGGTCTCTATTTATGTATTTAAGTTCACTTTGCTCCTTACGCCCCAGCCCAGGCCTGAGCAAAGCTTTGGCTGCCCGTGGCCCGGGCTAGACGTGGCTCACTGCACCTTTCCCGGGAGCGGGGACCCGCGTGCTCTCTCCAGTCTCCTTTCAGGCTTTTGCAGAGTCTAGCACCTGCGTAGTAATTTTACTTCTTATTCCCAAAGTTGTAGCAAAGTTCTCATCCATAATAAAGATCGTGAATGTTCTGTGAGTGTCCCGGAGGCGGGCGGGGGGCGGGGGCGACGCCCTTCCTTCCCAGGGCCTGGTCTGAGGGAAGGAGGGCCGACGGGCCTAAGCTCCGCTTCCACACGGCTGGGGTGTCGCCCTAAGCATTACCAGAGCAGTTGTTTCTTCCTCCTCCCTGTGCCCCCTCAGCCGGGTGCCGTCCTGCCTCAGCCTTACCTGCCCAGGTGTTTCAGCCAGAGCCCAAGGGCAAACTTGGTTCCGGTGCTGACCCTCTCGTTCCTGTCTGCCGTGGCTGGTGTGGTCCGCAGCAGGGTGGCCACGGGCAGGGCCAGAGGCTGAGTTCCTCCATCTGCCCCCAGGCCTGTGGCACTGTGTGAGGGCACCGTGTGACGGCACCGAGGCCTGCACGCTGGTGTCCCTGTATCCTCAGGGCCCCTCACCCTCCTGTGTGCTGCGGGAGCTGGGAGTAACCTCAGCAGTTTCAGGGTTAAAGTGACTTGCGGTGGGGGTGGGGGGTGGGGCACAAGCCTGGGTCTTCAGTGGGGCATCTGGGTCAGGCTCTGGGTGACCGCTTCATTATCACTCAGTTGAGCCCCGCACCCCCTGCCCCCCCAATAGTAGCTGCACTCTCAGTGCGTGAGTGCTGGCACGTGGGAGGGGGACGGCCTTACTTACTGGACCCACGGTGGCAGGCCCTGGGCGCAGGGCCCGGGCGTCCCGGCTCCGTCCTCCGTGGCAGCCACCGCAGCGGCCACATCCGGCCCCAGCCACGCGAGGGCGCTCACTTCCCTTGGGTTTGGTTGGAGCCGGGCCTGGGCCAGACAAGTTCCTCCCTGGCCGAGTCCCTCCGCCCGGGAGAGGCTCACCGCCAGGCGGAGCAGGGAGCCGGGGAGAGGCTGTGGCCTGGGTCCTTTACTCCCGCCCCTGTCAGTCAGCCGCGCGGGCCTACCTGCAGCTGCTGCTGGGACTCCTGGGAGACCACGAGTAGGTAGAGGACGATGTGGTGGTATTTGGGGAGACCCCAGCTCAGTCTAGGGGGGTAGGCAGACTGGAAGAAAAGGCCGAGCGAGGACTTCGCGTCTGAATGGGTTCAGCGGAGCCGGTGGCGGGCACAGGTGAGCGCCCTTGCCGTGGGCCTGGGGTGGGCCCGCCCCTTCCCTCCTCACCTCCCACAAGCCCAGCGGGACCCAGGAGAGCTGGTCCTGGCGCAGCCACAGCCCGGTCTCCTCCCAGAGCTCTCGGAGGCCGCCGTCCAGCAGCTGGGGGTCAGAGGGACACGTCGGCGCTCAGTCCTGCGGCCCTCGGCCCGTAGCTGGGGTGGTCCCACCGGCCGGGGCCGGGCAGGTGTTGCTGAGGTCAGCCCAGGGGTTACCTCTTCGCCAGCTTCTACGTGCCCGCCTGTGACGACAGTGGAGCCGGTAGGTGGGCGGTGTCGGCCGGGCCGCCCGGCTGTCCACACACCCCTTGCCGGGTGGACGCGGCCAGGTCCCTCGGGAGGAGGGGAGCCCTCGGGTCTGGACCCTCCTCTGAGGCGGAGAACGGCGCTGCGGTGTTGGAAGATAGGTCACTCACCTGGGGGTACCCAGAGGTTGGGGGAGGCGCTGAGGGTGGCTGCCCTTCGGGTCAACAGGACAGTCCGGTCGCTGGACTGGAGGACGACGGCCACGCCCAGGTCCACCCCTCGGTCGGCGCCCGGCGGCGCGGGGGGCCGGTCCAGGGCCGCGAAGGGGCAGAAGGGGGGTCGCTGGCGGGAGCGCGGATGAGGCGAGGAAGTGGGGCGGGCTTTCCGAAGTCGGGAGCCCCCGCCTCCCGCTCCCCCCGCCTCCCAGCCCCTCACTGCCCGCGGGGTTCCCGGGCCCGACCTGGAGCGGAAGCCTGACCGAGGCGCCCGGGAACGGCCGGTCCGACAGGACGAGCTGTCCCCGCTTCAGGTCGCAGTGCGTGGGCCACGGGCCGGGGCCTGGCCCCGCGCCCAGGAGGCCACACACACTCTGCGCGAAGCTCGCCGCCGCGGGGCGCCCCG